CTTAAGTTTTGTTCTTAGTAAATAGGTAAGAATGGTTTGCAATGATTAAATCGGTGTCATACCCTTTTGAAGTTTTATAATAAAGTTAATGGAATCGAAATGAATTTTACTGATGAAAGTTGTTTTAGAGTTAACAAGTACATAGGTAAACTTAGTCTTACATGAATTACCATAAAGTTTTAATTAATTAAATCAAAATTTAAGACTTTATACATAATTTTTAAAAAGTAGAATATCTTTCAGTGCCTAGTAAACAAAGAAAGTGGTAAGGAAATTTTTTTGTTTGAAAGAATACATCATAGCCTCTAATCAGAAAAGGAATGATTTGTCCCTTACTGCCCAAAGTAGTAAAAATTGCCTTAGTTCTTAGAAGAGAATAATGGCACAATATCAGGTATTTTTGAACAAGTTTTTTGTGAATATACTTAAGTCATTTTAGAAGAAAAAACCTAATGATAGTGTAAGTACGATGCTACCCTCCCAAAATGTGCCATTAGAATGTTCATGAGAACCAAAGAAGAGTATTTTTCTTCAGTTTACCAGAGGACATTACTCTCAAGGAGCTGAAAAGACAGATTGCAAATAGGACCAGGAATCTGCATACAAAATCACCATCCCTGATGATTCTGACATATCCTGGATCACACTCTGAAAATTACCATGCTATATTATGTTAAAATTTATTAATATATTTAGTTCCAGTTTCCTTGGCCTTTAAATGTACTCACATAGAAAACGTTGCCATTGGATTCGAGTAAAAACCGGCATTTCTTTTTGTTTGGCATTTAATTATCACATTGTTATCTTTTGCTCATATATTCTCCTAAAACTCTATAACTGTTTCCATGTTTGCAATCTGCATTAGTTACAATAAAGTCTAAATTTTTATTTACTCTGTATATTTCTGGTATACACACACACACACACACACACACACACACATCTGTAAAAAGCAATGAAGAAAAAGATCCCGTGTTTAATCTTATCTATTAATCTTGATCATAGTTATAATTCTAAAGAGTTTAAGCCACGAGTTAAAGGTCACTTAGCTTGTATGTGATATAGCAAACTGGAATCAATCAATCTGTCCACTTCCAAAATATTTCTTTCCACTATGTGAGACTGTGTGTGTGCATACATATATACATGTTTTATTTTGTAATAAATAACTTGTGGCTTTTGTGCCCCCTGATGTTTACTGATGCTCACTTGTTGAAAAAAGAAAATGTCTGTTTGTAGTTTAAAAAGCTTTTCTTGATTTTTATGTAGATTA